GGGATGCTGTGCATTTCCCGTTACTGTGCCATTACTTTCGGGGTGTTACTCAACCATCAAACGGAATATTTTAAAGCCAAGTTTGAAGTTTCCGCGTAACGTTGTGCTTCATAACCATACGCAAGGTAACCCATAAAAGTTACAGATCTACCGTCATGTTTTCATCTCAAAGTCAATATCACGAATACTTGAGAATATAGGCCACAGGCGAATTGTTCTTCCTTCTTGTTAAAAAGGGTGGTGCCTTTCCTATCTATGGCTTTCTTCCTCCTAGTCTCTTCATCACCCTGGAATGAAAATTCGATGCTAACATGTGTCTACACCATTTCCCAGAGAGTGGCATCTAGGCATGGCCGATACAGTAGATATCAGAATTGTTCCGCTACCTTGATTCCGTATGTGTTCAACGGAAGGCCAGAGTAACTTGGATTTGTTTGTTCTTCTTCAGATGACTAAACAGCTTTATAACAAAATTAAATTTAGTCAAGTGTCAAAATAACAGATCAAAACCCACCCGCTCATCATTCCTGGTATTCAAAGCATAAAGTACATCATTGGACTAAATCACTTTATTGGGTTTGTTTATTACGGATTGTTTCAACATTCCCCCACCCCCGAGCACAAAACTGTGTTTGCGAACATGAAATAGCAAACAAACTCGTTTTCGGTGCTACATCAACTGGCTGAATACCGCACAATTTATAATACATTAAACAGGCGGTGAAAGGAGACACATCCGCGAAGGAAATCCGAGTTTAAATGGAGATGTGATGGACTTGTGATGGCTGATATTCGTGAGCGTTTGTATATGTGGGGATAGTGGAGAGGGGACGGTAAATACAAACCATTTGACTGAGTCTAATTACAAAGGTCAATGTGTTTGAGGCTTTGCGTTCTTTCCATACGGCCAATGGTACGTTATCCAAAGAGGTCAAGTTCAGAATTATGTCAACAACCTAGGCAATTTCCATCCGTCTCAACCATCCCCTTTTTTTGCGCCCAGAAACAGTTTGTACAAAATGAAAACAAAGTCCGGTAGGCGAAACAAACTGTTTTTCGATAATTTCATCAACGGACCATTAGAATTGCATACGGTTATTTGCTCCTGTGGAGCAAGCTAAATCGGCCGAACTACAAAGAGGATACGCGAACACCACCCCAGCTGATTCAGACACGGTGAAACTAGGACGGCGAAAAGTGCTATCTGTCAACAAATACTGGAGACACGGCACACTATCAATGTTGATCAGGCTTTCCGCGCCATCGTCTCCCCACTAACAATCTGGTGAGGTAACCTCCGTTCATTCACCTACCCACCCATTCACAACCACCCTTTATCTTTCACTTTCCACGCTTACAGACACACGCACAAACATAAATGAGCACAAGTCCATCACCTCCTTTTAAACTCTGATTTCCTTCGCAGATGTCTCCTCTCACAGCCTGTTTGATGTATTGTAAATTGTGCTGTATTCAGCCAGTTGATGTAGCACCGAAAGACAGCTTGTTTGCTACTTTTTGTTCTCATGAATACTCAATCGGGAATAATCTCAGACTATTCAGCCTACTTGGTGGGAGGTGACATCCCCTTTTGGTTTTCTATCTTGACTGAGATTGGGTGGAAAGCAGACCAATTCGTTGTTCAGTGTATGATCCACTATCATCCGTGGTCCGTATTACAATCAACTCATTGCACGCCTTTGTTCACTCCTTCGAATCTGATCTTACAGAAGAAGTGGTGCATTTTTTCGTACATTCTGCACACTACTTATGTGAGAAATAGATAGAGTATGCGGTTCACTTATTCGTGTATGAAGAAAAACAATGCTCGACATAAGACGCTCTAGGAAGCACTTTACAGTTGCTTTGATCTGATTAGGCTTCATCAGCTTTTTGAATCCATCGACCCAAATGAGGATCGAACCCGAGATCTCAGAGGTGGAAAGCAAGCAAACAGCCCCACTCCCCCCCCCTGGGTGAATAGTCAGACCAATACACAATATGCCAAAACCCAAAATTTCCATCTNTTCTTGCTGGCATCACATCTTAAATTCACCCGAACCTGGTATAAAAAAGGATACAAACAAATGGTAAGTAAGAAGCGATTTCCTCAGTACTCCAGTTTTCCCACTACATATTTACTTTAAATAAAATATTTCGAATATATTTTCCTAACTAGTTTGACTTATTACTCCGCAATTCTATTTTAGACGGTGTTTATTGCCGCAATTCACGTGTAATTTTCGTTTAGGCAAGCAAGTGCAAAGGGATTAATGCAGAGCAGTTTAAACCTGCCAAGCCCGACATTTTGGTAGTCCCCAAAGTTTTTGCAAGCCTTCCTTCAACNAACTTTTTGACCGCATTTAAAAATACGGCTGAATCCTGCGTACCCAGCAACCATACCCGTCGATTGATGACCAAAAGGTATTTGAACGTCACGTGCTGTGCGAGCTTGAAACGTTTCCATATGAAAGCACTAGAATTTTAATTTTTAGCTTGCGTCTAGTTTAACTAATTGCTCATAAGTAACAAAAATTAGTGACTGCCTTACAGTGCTTAACCACTTCCCAGAACAGAGAAGATGCCTATTTTAGGCATCTTCCAAACAAACATAGCAACTAATTGAAAGCGGACTTTCCCTGTAACGAAAATTAATTAAATTGCTGGGTATAAAAACGAAAAAATCTTATTTACCTTTATCATCCACGATAAGAAATAGTTTGAAAGCATAGTGCGAAAGCATCAGCCAAGCTGACTTCAACTTGGGAAGTTGTGGTGCACTTTGTAGTTTGATCACTGCTCACTAGCTGTGGATTTAGGAAGGGTATTCGGTTGGAGTGAAGAGCGGATTTCCCATTGTATATAAAGTGTCACGTGAGTGATCGAAACTGGTCAGATACCGATTACAGGCAACGATCGAAGCGATCAGTGCATGGTAGAAATACTATGATAAGTAGCATTGAGTGTTGTCGGCAAAATAAGCTAGTACGTGGCTTAAAAATCTTCCCTGACAGAAAATTGATAACTTCATTTGTGGCCGTCGTACCGAGTCGAAACAATGATTATCATACAGTGGAAACTGAAAGTTACTTTACCCCAAGTTTTATGTTGGATAGATCAGCTTGGAATAACGTAGGAATGTATGACTTAGAAGATTTAATCGCACTCACTACGTGGCTTCATTATACCTTGTCCATCCTTTACGAAACAGTAAAGCAGCTACCCCGGAAGTTGAAAATCTAAACCTACTCAACCACTTATCAATAAGAGTATTCTAAAGATGATGCAAAGTCATGTTGAAAATTATCCATCTGTGACAAGCTTTGTGCCAGCGAACACACCAATTATGGACTTCATGGAGATTGACTAATAACATATCAATGACGCAATAGATAATAACACATTTTGTGTTATAATCGTGCAAAAGTTTATCGATCGTTTGAGGAGAGATTTACTTTGATTTCAGCTTTTTAGTCTAACTAGAATTTTGTTGTACATTTTTATTCATATAACACTAATTTATTTACTTAATAGAGGCTAAAATCACCTACGGAAGAATAACACATTTAGAGATTTAGGTATTTTAAGAAACTGGATCACTTTGCACCCTCTAAATAAATAAATAAAGAATAAGAATAGTAAATAATCTTATGGCCATGCCTTTTGTTTGTTTGGACGTTAGCGGTAACTTGTAACAAAAACCCCAGTGAAGGGGATTCTCTTAAAAATTACTTCCCGATAGAAGATACAACTCATATTTTTGAATAAATCACCTTATATTGTTGGGATATCGAAAGACGCTCAGTGGTGCAAACAAACGGCGGACAAACAAACACATGTAAGTGGCTGGAAGAAGTATTCAGTACTTGCAAATCTCAAAAGGCTGCACGAATTTTTAAAGGAACATTTTCGTTTGGCCAGAAACATGTTGAAACTTCTTGCTGGGCTTCAGTTAAACGTTCTAGAGACTATGACGACAAAAACAAATGCATCGTTTTTTAATTACCTTTTTTAAAGTGAAATCAGGAATCCGTATTTTGTTAACAAACGACTTAGAAAGAAATATTTTATCTCCAGATGGACGAAGTTTTAATGCTCTTTTGAATTGAACGAGCATCAGCAAGAGAAGCACCTAACGCTTCCCACACCCACACACATGCAGTGCTCCAATCATTGGGCCATAACATTGCACTCCGAAAGGAAATCCATAAAACCACAGCTTAGTGGTCCCTGCATTACAGCACAACCCGTTTGTCTCTCCGTTTCGCGATGTGTTTGTAAAACAATGACGTCATACTCAAAATGAATCAGATTTTATTATTGGGCACATCATGAGCAAAGAACCAGTGATTTCGTACTGCCTACATATGTGTCTGTATATGTGTGTTTATTCTTTATGTTTGTCTGTGCACGTGGTCAAAGTGATGTTTGTGACAAAAACCTGCAAAAAAGAGTTAGCACAAAAACAAACCAGAAGAATACGAGAAAACAAGAAAAAAGGTGGCTAGTACAGCCCGACGGGCAACCACCGAGGCCGGGCACGGGTAACTCATCATGAGTGTTCGAATGGTGCATGTATGACTCGAACGGTCAACGAAAGTGAACGAATCGGCTTTACATCTTGAGCGATGGGCTTGCAGTTCGAAACTTGTACCGAACGAAATAGAATAAAGTCATAAAGCCTTTTAAGCCACATGGAAGATGCGAATACCATATTAAACGAACACCACACAATTAAACGCCTATTCGAACATCATTGTTCAAACGAATGACTCACGAAGGCTTCGTCGTATGAAGCGCATGCTTCACGCTGCTGACCACATGTCAGAAATTGTAGGAAAACTGCTAGAAATAGACTCTCATGTGTTCCTTGGTTGGGCTAGATAGTTGCATCTGACTTCGAACGTTCTCCAGTGAATCAAGATGGGAGATTATATGCTGGGGGAAGAGAAAAAGGAATCATCTGCAGTTGACTCGGTATGTGGCGAGGGGTATGTCTACTATTTTTGCACGAGAATTTGCTTCATTGACCTGTACATGCTAACCGGAGGATTTATATCTGAACTCTGATATTGCGTGCCCACATCAAATTTGGTCTGTTTGTTCATGCCAATTTGAACGGGATCTGTTTGAACGGAACGATCCTCCAAATTTGCACCGAGCAAATCGATTTGCACAGCCCGATGACGTTGTGCACCTTTGGGAGGTGGTAAAGCCTTGATCAGTTCCGGACCGGTTTGAGCATGCGTGGAAACACGACGTGATGCCTCGGCAATGGCCTCGGCAGCCAGTTCCTTCTCTGTGATAATGCGACCAAAGTCTAGTTTACCTGGCTGGAACAATCCCAGTCGTGTTCGCCAATACCGAGTTCGGCTATCTTCCGGTTCACCTGGTTCAATACTATTTGCATTGCTTGCAGGGGACATGGATTGACTGGAGACCAAACCACTGTCCCCGTTTTGGGCGGCCTCTTCGGCAGCTTCTAGGTGGAACAAGAATTGTTGCTTTGCCAAATCACGACTGAGCGGCTCTGATGCTGCCTGAAGGCACTGACCAACACGGTCTAGCATCGGTCCACCCTCAGTCAATGCTTCGAGAGGGTCCATCAGGTCCAAACGACTTGTGATATGATCGTCATTCAAAAATTCATACCAGCTATTGGCGGCATGTGCCAAGCGATGACACTCGCTACTTAAAATGTCCAATGGAACACCAACTACTGTGTTAACTTTGTCACGTAGCAGTAGCTGTTGCCGATGAATTTGTTCCATATACGCTTTTGCTCCGGCATCAATTGCTGTGTACAGGCGTCGCATTTCTTTCTCACAAACCTGCAGGCTGCTCAACAGAGCCTCAATTTGATTCACTTGAGTTTGCGTTGCCGCACTATCTCGACTGAGCTGATCTTGATATGCTGTTACAGCCTGACGGATGGACAGTATATCATGGTCTGCATGACCAGAAACTTTCGGGGATTCTCCTCCTGTGCCGTCTATCGTGGCCTCAAAAGTGCATACGATGCAAATATATGTGCGACAAGTTAGACAGAAGAATCTCCTAAGCTCGCGTGGATGTCGGCTGCATTGTAAATCTTCCATTTGCTCAACTCGAATCAACACGTGGTTTGAAGTGACAGACATCTTCGAGTGTGTTTCTCGACATGACGTACACAGTCGTTTGGCACATTCCAAGCAGGCAGCACTGGCTGGTTGTGGCCCGACAGATGCACCGGGTTTTACAGACGCGGAAACCAATTTACGCCGACGTCTTTGCCTACCGTTCTTCTTGGGAACATAAAACCGTTGCGATTGTTCTGACCGGATTTGATACCCGAGTCACTGGACAATGAACCGTTTTGTTTGGCACTGAGTGCGGAAGAGGAAGCTTCTGTTTCTTCTCCATCTCCGTCATCATCCGTCGAGGAACTGTCCTCATCGGTGCCATAGCGTTCAGTTGCAGAGAACGCCGATTGCTGACTATTGCTCGATTCAATATCAGTGTGATTCATTATCACGGGTTCGGTCAAAAGTAACTGCTTTGTGCAAACATCACACACAGGGAAAGTTGGCATTCGATCAACCATGGAAGCTAACTTATCAGCCAGTTGATCTGTGGGTAAGTCTGAAATACCTCCAGATGGAAGAACTGTCTCTTTTTCACACACAGGACAGGCGATTCGTTTATCTTTGGTTGTGACAAAATTATATCGAGATAAACCGTAGTCACTGGAATCATAACCTCCACCACCGTAACGAAATTTGGAAGACCACTTTTTCCGATAACCTCCAGTTCGATAATCATTCACCAGATTTGATGTTGCGTAATATCGTTTCGCGCTCTCAATTTCCTTTGCCTCCTGCTCTTCTTCTTTCTTCTTCAAAATCTCCTCTAAACATGATTGACAAAATGTGTGCAAACAAACAAGCACTTTTGGTTTTCTGTAAGGTTGTTGACAATGTTTGCATGTGAGAAAATTAGCCTCAAGGCTTTTACGTATTTCCATTGCTGGTGAAAACAGCATTCAGATTTATTAATCAGGTTTTTGTTTCACACGGGGCGACCAAACGTGAAGAAAGGAAATCGGATAAAAGAATTTCGCTCACACAAGTGTCGTTCCCGCTGGTGGCCCTTTATTTGGTGAAAATGAGGGGATCATATCTTGGTCAGGTCCCGTGTCCTGCCCACGAATTTGTGTCAAGGTGATGCAGTACAATGAATGACAAGGAAATTTTATTCAGCGACTGAAATTGTGCGCGTGTGCTTATTCTTGCACTCAGCTGTCGATAGGGTTCCATCATCTGATTGGTGCTCGATCACGTGGAGACGGAAGCAACACGCACACACGGGCAAAGTGACTTAGTTGGATGAAACAGAAATGACGGGGACTGTGGTTTGCCCCGAACGCAACGCATTCGCCTGTGCATCAATAATGTGCCGCTTGGTCATCCACAGACACACACATACACATATAAGATAAGATGCGTACATACAAGTGTACGCACCCGTCGACTACTAGCAGAACAACAAGATTTACACGGACATGCTTGCACATCTATCATGGGCACAAAAGCACCGCTGTGCGCACGCCTCCGTTCGAAGGACATATACAGCCTGCCTCTTCATACTGAATCGTTTGGTCAGTGTGCGTGGGGGTAACATATGGCACAAAAGTGACCAATCCAAATGAATTCTTTCGGGATAGGTAGGTGGTATTCTTGATTTGATTTTCACAGGAATTAGTTCAAGCAAATGAACTCTCACAGTATTCGGAGGCAAAATGAATGATCCAATGGAGAAACGGGACTTTGAGGCTGAAGTGGTGAGCAGTGATGAAGCAAGGGAATAATCATATGTTTCAGGTACAACGCAACATTAGTCTTGGATGTGATTCATAAAGTGGACTCAATCATGCGAGTCCATTTTCAGATACACAGGAAAGATATAGTATTCTCCTGCAAACTGCGAAAAGAGATCAAAAATACAGAAGGTAAATCCCTGAAACATTAATAATGTGTAGTCTGCTTTCTCCTTAAACTGTTTGACCTTAGAGATGCCTAGCTTGTGAAAAAAGCGGTTGATTGGGGTGGCGGAGGATTCGGTACAGAGAATAAAAAGTGAATTAATAAGGGAAAAGATAAACAGTGGTTTATTCGGAGTATAACTTGAGTGTGCAATCATGGTACCAAGCAAATGGAAAAGCGTCATAATTACTGCACTGCTGTTCCATCCTTGTTAAAAGTGGTGACCAGAGCACACCCACAGAATCCATCGCAAATCGAATCCAAGGAGTGTTGAGAGAACACATTCGAAAGGACCGTAAAAGGCAAAACCGTTCTAAGAGTCATAGTTCATTGTGTGCACTGTGCTTTATTCCTTGTGCTGCTGTTTTCTGCGTTTGTTGACCATACTGTGTGCGATTATTACTGTCTGCCATTCTCATAATGTAGTCCGTGCAAATGATGAGGAAAGTTTGGTGACATCATTGATTCGCATCTAGCTCAACTTTGAATCGGTCATGGTGTGTGAATGCTTTGGTGCATTTGCTGATACACTATACGAGAAGACGTTTGTTTGAACCAGTTCGTGAGATAGACAACTTGGCTGAATGGGGGAGTGCCCAAGTGTATCGATAATTCGATCTATATGAATATTTTGGAGTCAGACGAAGTAACCCTGGCGTTAATTACAGTGACTGGGATCCCGGAGCACATCTGAAAGTATTTATCGGTCAACGGGTCTGTTATTCCCTGCAATGATAGTGTGAACTAAAAATCTGGGAAGCCATGGCCATACAATGAACTGGTTTCAGCACCCCCTTAAATGGTGCCTTCGGTATTTAGTCATACCCCATTCCCCCTGCTAAACCTAGTTCCAAACATCAACCATAACATACTACCACCTTAGTGTTTCATATTGTCATCCTGATTCAAACTGTTTTCGGTGAGCCAATTCTTAGTTGTGTTTTAGCGATTCTCTGTTCTTATACACCCTTAGTTTTCAGTTATCTTATTTACCCCTTTCCTATTCTTGACAAATGAACTTAGACTTTCTAGCGGTTAGTACTACTTTTGTGTCCCTGCAAGAGCTTGAACCGTCAACCTTCAGATTGGGAGTTGAAACAGACACAAATAGGGCCTTCAGTTAATCCTTAATTGGGAAATGTTTTAGGTGTAGCCCAGGAGACTTCACAGATCTCAGGAATATCTTTAAAATTTTCAAGGAAGTAGATAAGTAACAGAGTATCAAAGGGTAAGAAGTGATATACCTCTGCCATTTTGCCGATCGGTCTAATGAATAGATATAATTTGCGATTTAGCAATACAGAATTCACGAATAGTGGTTACTGCGTTTCCACACCTTAAATCTCTAAATTAGAAACTAGTTGATGTGACTAGGGCCTCAACCAATGAGTATTATGCAGGTATCCGCAGATAGTGAGAATGAACCGAATCTTTTCAATCCATCGTGCGAGAAAAACAAGGCGATTCTCAAAAGAATTGAAACAGAGAGACAAACACAACATGTCTACACCGCTACACTCTTTACGTCATGAAATCTCGTGTGAAGAAAGCTGTCACACGTTAAAAACAAAGTGTTAAGGGGGGACATCCAATTAAATGTTGTGTATACGGGAATTTCACTATCTACACAATACCAGTTAGGTCGAATTTGGCGGTACCATATGATTTCAATAAAACGCCAGATCCAAATACCGCCTTTCGTGTAGCTCATCAAAACAGCTTAAGTTCTTCAAGGTATGTTTCCTAAAACAAATGAGGGGTAAACGGCATTCACTTATTCGAAGCGTCAAGAGATAACTGTCACCTTTTTAACGATTCATTAAACATTTACTATTTTTGAGTCAGTCCCCTAATTTTGAATCCTAAATGTTTTTTAACGCAATTGTATTTCAACCGGACATCAATAACCGCAGTTTGGTTGCAGTGCGCTGACCTCCCGAATTCAGGGCACGCGTAGGTGCAACTGAGGTCGGTCACCAATGCATCTGAGGTTTATCAGTTCCACACCAATTATTTCGTGTAAAAGTGCAAAACAGACACTCTCGCACTTGTAAAAATGCGCGCACGAAACGACTAAAATGTAAAAGAGAAGGAACACAATCGCATCGCCGTGTTTCCAAAGTAGGCATGTTAGAGTTTCCCACGTAACAGCGAAACTGTTGCAGCGTTTTATTCATATATGAACTAAAGGTGAATGTCTACAGTTGAACGCTTAGTATTAGGTTGCAATCATGATAAGTAGTAAAACTGCTTTCGGTTGGAACCCCTGTGGAACAAGGATCAAAACACCGCCATCACTTACAGATTCGCTTGTTACTGGCTGAGATCATTCGGAAACAAGTTCATTGAATGGCCAGAAGTTCAATTGTATTAACCAGTAATATGTATTGATGATTCTTGGTGATTCGCATCCTTCAGACATGTTGAGAGATCATATGCCAAAGCTGCAGATATCACAAAAATACATAAAGGTACAGGGACGTATTTCTGTAGACAACTAGTCACCACGTTTGATGGCAAGCTGATGCATTTGTGTCGCGGTCTTTTAAAATTCGTATATCTTACGACTGAATATTGATCGAAAGCCTCTTGTTCTCTTTAGGTCTATCAACAGGTCCTTTTTACTCACTCAGGCTTTCTGGATGCTCCAGATATTTTCCTCTGTATTAGAGTGTATTGTTATGTTCATATCTGATGGAATCAATGAAAATCCGGCATGTCGATGAGCAGTATTCATTAGAAGTTACGCTCCCTCCGGAGCTGTTCTTGCTTTTACAATTCAATTTAGTCGGTATTGTGCATTCTGTCATGCATAGAGCAACGGAAACAAGAATGCAGAATCTGAGACGCACTCACTGCGCTGCTATTTTGACTCTGGTGAGCTTCATCGGTGGTGAAACCCTACAGACCGAATACGGCGTTGAATTGGAGACGTCACATGTATATAACTCGAGCTAACTTGTTTATGTCAGTTGTTTATAAGTTGCGTTCTTTTGTCACAGAGAGATCTTAGATTTCAGCAGATCATAAACAATTCCCTGAAACACGAGTTCTAATAAGATTCCTATGAGAAAGGTGATCTTTCTGTCAAATTGGATTTCCCTCAAAAGCAATGGACACATGAACAAAGATAGTCGTTTTACATGCCCTCCTCCAGTGATCTCCCTCTGGGCTTGGATCTAGGTAGAATGAATGAAGTACAACATAAATTGAACTGACGAAGGTCTGACCACCTCAGAGCTTGTTGGCTGCCCGCCAAGGTAAACGGTTTCACACCCAACACAGATATTTCCAGTTTCAGTCTTGCCCAGGAAACAAAATCAGTACGCCCTGCTACCAAGTCCAAGCAAGAAAGAAAAAATCTCCAGTGCTGCTTTTCTGACAATCACACCGAAAATCATGAATTTTGCAAAAAGATAATAAAAGGACTACTGACTTTTAGTTCACCTAATAGTTTACACTTGTTCACTTGATTGTTTTTCTACGTGATCACATCGGATTCACCAATAGAACGTATCACAATGAAAGGATTGAGCATAATATTGAGGATAATGGATGAAATTCACACATTTTGTCTAAAACATCTCGATTGTGACAATCTTTGTTTTGTTCTTATTCCTGTCGGAGTCAAAAAGAAAATTTCCAACTTTTTTTGACTGCAGTCAGTCACATGGATCGCACAAATCCTATGTTTGTTTAAACTAGTTTATTTCCTATAAACTGCAAACGATCCCACCAGAACGGCGAAAATTAAGGACTATTGATGTGATTTAAAAGTACTGATATCCGGTTGAGGTATGCTTACTTTGCTTGCTTTTTCTTTATGCAAATGTGGGCAAACCGAATTATTGTCACAAAAATTTGAATTTGCCTCAAAACTGTCATCCGAAATCGGTATCTATCGTCATAGTGAAATTTTTCCTGCTCCAAAACTATCCATATTCGTGTATAATCCTTGAGGGATTAGGTATTTTTTACGTCA